TTAAAAAGTATCATTAAGGGACCTCCCTGGTGGCACAACATTGGAGCACACAGCTACAAAGCTAGCCACAGCCGCTTCAGTGTGAGTTTGATCCCCACCTGGGGATCTTTTAAAATCTTTAAAAAAAAAAAAAGTACCATTAAAAGGGTCACTTCAGCTATTTTATTATATGGAGAATAGTTGGTGGAGAGGTAGAGAGACAAGAGGGTGAGAAAGGTGAAAGTACACAAAGAGATCAGAAGTTAGTGCAAGAAAAAGAGAGAGCTGGTAGCAGTCATGGCAACAAGTGATTTAATTCTGGATCCATTTGGAAGGGATAATTAGCATGATTTGCTAATGGATTAGAAGTGGAGTAAAAGATAGTCATGAATGACCCCAAGGTTTATGATTTTACCAAGGCTGAAGAACAGTTTCCATTTCTGTAATGGGAAATGTGTGAGAAGAACTCAGTTGAGTAGATAAATTAGGAGTTTAGTTTTGCACCATTTGAGGTGAGCATTATTTATATAGGGAAGATATTAGGCAGACTATTTTAAAGAGATTGTGGCTGATATATATATATCAGGGAGTTGTTAGCATTTAAAAATCATGAGACATGAGGCCACTAAAATGTGAGTGTATATAAACAAGAAAAGTTTAAATCATGAACTATTAATTACCCAATGTCTAGAGTAACCAGCAAAGGAAAGTCAAAAGAAGTAGGAGAGGAAGAAAATCTAGAAGATGATGTCTTCAAAATTAAGGGAAAACATGTTTTAAGAATTATTTTGATATTCCATATAAAATGAGGATTAAAATTTGACAAGTGGATTGACAACAGAACAGTCACTGGGGACTACTGACAAGAACTGTTTCAGTGAAGTGGGGGGACCCAAAGCTAAAACTGAATGAGTTCAGGAAGGAATATGAAGTCCAGAGTGGCATCAGGGAGTATGCACAACTCTGCCCTGTGAGAGGATGTGGTGTCAAAGGAATCTGTTTAGATGTGAGATTTCATAGCAAATTTGTTTGTTAATAGGAATTTACTGAATTTCAAAATGCTTAAATGTACACAGTTGTATTATGGACTAAAATTACAGAATGGACTATCATATAATATTTTCCACAGAAAAAAAGTTATAAATTGATTTTTTTGTCCCTTCATTAGCTTTATTACTAAATTTTACTGTATTTCCTAGTTGTTTCTCTATATATTCCCCAGAAGAAGCAGAGACTGTATTAAATACACTTCCCTCTGCCTACTGTGCAATTCAGCAGGAGAATATCAGTTCATTTTATGTATATCCTATTTGCTAAATGTGTCTTCTTCCCAAGACTTATTTTTTGGCACATGAGCATTTTCTATCATCAAACTAAAAAACTCCTGTAGTTCAGAAAAGCAAGTGTTTCAAGATGTATGAGCTGAAAACAATCTATTTGAGAGTCGCAGATTAAGCTCATATCCTAGTAGCCAACACTCAGTCTAAAACCCAAAGATAGAATTATTGCCCTCAATGCTAAATAAGCAAAACCCACTGCAATCACACCTTGATAGGGACTGCTGAGTATCCAAATGCTTAATGTAAAAATAAATCATGGTTTTAAATGTTGCCTGCTACATGGACTTTTTTAGAACTCTGAAATGAATAAAATGGTTCCACATCACTTAACCAATGATCTGTTTTTGTATATTTTTTGCCAACTTATGAACAATGCTATTTCTTTCATATGCTAAACTCCACATTATAAGTTCCAAATGACAATTTTGGTGTTTTGCTTTCAAAAACACCTACTGTGGAGAATAAATTTTTTTTTACACAAGTTTTAATATTTATCTGCTTTCCTATGCAGACCAACCAAGATTTGAACATAAGTATCTTCATTTTATAAACAACAATTTTTCTAAGAGAAAGGGTAAGTAAAGGTAAGAAAACATTTCATAAAGTACAGTACCAGTTGCAAATGGAACACTCTAGAGGGAAAGACCCTGCAAACAGTATGTAGATCTTTTCAGAGTGCTCTAAACTTGGATGAAGTTTAGTTATAAATCACATTGATGAATGGAACACATTTGCTAAAATGGTTCTATAATAGCTACACAGTTTATGGCTTGAATAACACAGCCTAAAAAACTTGAGGTTAGAAGGAGTGGATGGAATTTTACTTAAAACAATAACAGGGCTTCTTGAAGAACCCTGAACACTATCCTGATCAGAATAGTTACCCTTTAAAAAAAAAATAAAGAAATGTATTTTAAGGAAAGTATGTCTAGATGAGATAGGAGTAGAAATAATAATTAGATAAGTAGAGAATATTTGGAGAGGAGACATAATGGCTCGGTAAGGAGTACAGATTCTGGATGGAGCCAGGCTACTTGTGTTTGAATTCCAACTGTTCTTCTCACAAACTGCTAAAAATGGGCAATTTATTAAACCTCCCTGTGTTACAGTTTTCCCATCTGTCAAAAACCACTACTCCCTAACTACTGGTTGTCATGATGATGATTAAGTAATACTGGAAAAGAGTTTCAACAGTGTCCGGTACAGAGTAAGTACATAACAAGTTGGACAATATTATCACAAAATTATGCTTGTACATATATAAACATGCAAACCAAAAAGTGAAGTGAATACAACTATAACAAACACATGGCAGTGTCCTCTAATTTATCCATCATCAAACATAAAAATTCAATGAATGTTTTCCTTAAATATTCAAAAAATGTTATATCTTCAGTCTTCTTGGGTTACTTAGCAGAGATTTCATCTAAACTACTTTGTTCCTCTAAAAAAATCAAAGAAAAACCACAAGAAAGAGTGCTGCCTAAGCATGTAAATAGTGAATGACATCACTTATTTGCTCTGTGGGGCCTCACTGGTGGCACAAGGGTTTAAGTTGCAGCACTCTGAAGCTATCTACAGCTACTGCAGGATGAGTTTAATCCCCAGCTAGGGAGCTGACCCATATGGTGCAGTAGACCTCTCCTGTCTCTCCTGATGATCCTCTCAGGAGTGTATTTTGTCATTCCACTTGTTTTCTGTTCTCCACTCTGTCTCTGGTGAGTCCTCTCATCCCTACACTTCTGGCCTGTACCTCAGTTCTTCTATGCACAAATAAATAAATCTTAAAGAAAAAGTTATGGTCCAAAGTATAGGCTTGTTACTAAAGCAATTTATAATATCTAAATTGCCTTACGAAATGATATGCAGGTGAAACTATTATGTCAAAATCTGAAATTTTTGAAAAATAAAAGGATATAGTATTTATAACAAAGGCCCAAGAAAAACTGGTTAGAGGATACAACTCTGTTATTATCAATATCATCACCATCAGCTGACAATTACTGATATGATGAGGACTGTAGCAATAAATATCCAAAATTCTGGCTCAGCCAAACAATGGTGTATTATGGACAGTCAGTAAATAATAAGTTGTTTAATAGTTTATTGATCAAACTTACTTAGAGGGCTATTATCGTTCAAAATAAATTTCCAATGATGTGGATGATTTAACCCTTTATTATGTTTTTGTTTTTAAAGATGAACCAGATATCCCACTTTATTTTCTATATAATGACTAACTTTAGGCCAGAGGTACAGAGAGTGAGAGGATTCGCCAGAGATAGAGTGGGGAGCACAACAGGCAAAGTGAGTAAAATACACGATTAGAGGAACAATGGGCAAGATAGAAGAGGTCTCCTGTACCATATGTGGGTTGTCTCCGTGGCCTGGGATTTGATTGAGGCCATAGCAGTAATAGCACTGAGACTTAACCTGTAGGCCACCAGGATGCCCTAATTATATGTTTACATTAGTATGTAGAGGTAAGGTCAGATAATAGATCTAATAGCTATATTAATAATTTGGTATTGACGTGAAAAATATTTTCAAAATGTAACCTTTCTCCACAATTAACTCTGTCATACCAGCCACATGATTGGTGAAAGAAATGAACATGAATTATATAGATACATTCTTTATTCTTCCATTTGACTGCCCTTGTTCTCCTTTCTAATTGAATAGTTAAGTTGACTAGACCAACTGGTATATGTAATTTCTTTTTTAAAGATTCATTTTATTTGTGCATACAGAACTGGAGAACAGGCCAGAGGTGCAGGAGGGTGAGAGGATTCATCAGAGACAGAGTGAGGAGCAGAACAGGCAGACTGACGAAGTACACTACTGAGGGGAGTAGCAGAAGAGACAGGCGAGGTCTGCTGTGCCATGTAGATAGCTTCCCTGGCCAGGGATCAAACTTGTGTTGAGGCAACTGTAACTAGCTTCCTAGTGCTTTCTTTTCTAAAATTTTTTAAAGGATTTTAAAAATTAAACTTCAGATTTTATTTGATTTTACCAGATTTTACACTAATAAGTCAGTTGAAAAACCTGCTAAACCACAAGATCAGATGGGGATTAATTGTCCAAGTTTCCTTGGTCTTCTCCACTCTATGAGTTTCTCATCTTTTCTTACTGTTTATAACCTTGATATTTTTGAAGATTATTGGTTAGTCATGTTGCCAAACTCAGAGTTCGTCTAGTGTTTTCTCATGATTAAACTGAGGTTATACCTTTTTGCAGGAAAATCACTAAGTACCTTCCCATTACTTCAAGGACTACATTATGTTGATATGCATTATTATTGATGAAATTAACCTGGATTATTAGGTTAAAGTGATGTCTACCAAGTTCCTCTGCTAGGAAGTTAATGGTTTTTCTTTTGTAATAAATACTTTGGAAAAGATAATCTTAAGAGTATGTAAATATACAATTTTTGCTCAAACTTTTACTCAATAATTCTAGCATTGTCTGGTGGATTTTGCTAGATTGTTACTAAATATTTATAGAAGGAATTAAAATATAAGAACTTTAATGGCCAGACTATTCTTGACACAAACATATTTAACTCTACTGAATGGAGCATTTTATATTCAAAATAGGAAAAAAATTCTCTCTGGTCAGTCTATTCAGTTAATACTAGCCAAGTAAGATACAAATGTATAACATAATTGAAATGTTACTTACATAACTATGACTTTTAAAGAAATCTGATGGACTATTGGTGAGGATCTTGTCTCCTTCCAAACCAATTACTCTTTTGCAAATATTTGATTTTGGATCATTCGGGCTTTTGGCAATCACAATGTCACCTCTGAGAGGAAAAAAAAATCAAAATGTCAGCATTATTATTTGGTAAGCATAAACACATGCATGCCATTGCTATAATGCCTTTATAAAGCAACTCAAATAAAGTCATACAGTTTATCCTTTAACATAGACATTCCCATACATTTGCCAGTAGTGAGAAACCTGGTGACTAACTTTTAGGGGTTGGAATCCAGCAATGAGAGTATTAGAAGAACTATTTGAAGATTCTAAAATTTCTGATGATACCACAAAACTTGTCTTATTGCACTGTTATTTCTGTATCCAAATTTTACGAACCAAAGTTAAAGAAAAGCAATTCCATGTAAATACCATCAAATTATGTAATAATTTTTACTACCCTTTAGTAGTATTGATTGACTCTACAGCACATAAGAAAGTAGAAACATCAACTGTGTTTCCCTGGAGTTCAAAGAATTGAGGAATTACAGAACGTTAAGTTATAAAACACGGGTAATTATTCATTTATCTAAAAATACAAAAGAGTAGCAAACTATCGGAAGATAAAGCCAAATAAAATGTTAAGAGCTGCCTAAACATACTCCATAATAAATAAATTGGCACATCATATATATGGAAGACATAATTCATGGAAGAAGGAACAATTTATATATAATAGAATAATAAGATCTTTAAATGTAGAAAAGAAGGGAACAAAAATATAGGACTAATGACCCAAACAAACAACTAGTGTTCATTCTGCATATTATTAAGGGACCTGCTAGCTAATTTGGACAACAGTGCAAGGAACACAGTTAATAAGAGCTTGTCATGCTTACAGAAGCAATCAAAAATTGTCAAACTGAAAAAACATTTGAGTCAAAATACATTCTAGCTGGCCACTAAAAAGATTATTTATAAGACTTTTAAAACATAAACTTAAGAAACTGTAGAAAAGACACAATGTGTGTGTTTTCACTGTAAACAGAGATTTACCTTTGGATACCATAAAAGTGTCGACTAAGATTTTCTGCAAATACAATATCTGAATTTTGAATTGTAGGCTCCATTGATGGTCCAGAACACTGAAAAGACAGGTAAATTGTGTTCAAAATTTTTAAATTTTAATGTAAATCATATGCTCAAGATAGAAATATAGAAAATCAAACAAATCTTCAATCTTAAAGGATGACTCATAACTATAGTAGTTGACAATTTCCAGACAAGTTTACCTCTACAGAGGGACCACCAAGTCTGAAGACACAGGTAAACACTTTACAAATGGTCATTTGTAACTGATATTATAGTTATTTGCAACTGACATTACATTGCAATACATAAATAAAATAATACAGCTTCCAAAATTTTGGCCTATGTGTAAAATGAAGGCTAGAAATTTAGGGCAAGAAATTTAACTCTTCTGCCCTATGGTAGCCAAAGCCAACAGTGCTTGGCATAATCTTGATAAACAGTTATTTGTTGAATAAAATAATAATCTATTATTTTCTTACAAATGGCAAAATAAATCAGTGCCCATAATGATAATTTTTTTAAAGATTTATTTATTTATTCATACAGAACTGGAGTACAGGCCAGAGATGCAGAGGGTGAAAGGATTCACCAGGAACAGAGTGGGGAGCAGAACAGGCAGATCGACAAAGTACACTGCTGAGGGGAGCAGCGGGTGGGTAAGGAGAGGTCTGCCAGGACATGTGGATCTCCTCCGGGGCAGGCGGAGATCGAACTCATGCGGAATTGGCTTAAGCTTCTTAGTGCAGTTCTTTAACCCGCTGAGCCATCAGGGAGGGCCCCGTAATGATAATTTTTTAAGTGGTATCACATTCTTTCCCCATGAGCTGATGCCTTTCCTTTTTTCTTAAGCCAATAGCTTAGTCATCTGATAGGGCTGCATATCATATTCTCTACTGAAAATAGTATAGTGGGACACACTGCAGACTTCAAAACTGTACTAAGTGCTCTAGCCATTCAAAATATCAAAATGCAGTAGTCACCATTTATTCTACTTAGTAATAAAACTTTTTACTCCAAAGAAAGAAAACAATGAAAATTTAAGTTTGCTACTTCTGTGTTCCACTGGAAGTAGTAAAGTAACTTTTAAAAAAAAGTCATTTTATTTTATTTTACTTAATATATTCATACACACACACGTGTTAAATATATTATCTGCTCAACTTGAGGGTATATGACTGTGACTCTATTAGAGTAAACCTGATAAAACACCACCTCCACAATCACCAAAACCCAGTGATAGGCCATTCAACTTATGCTTTCATTTACATGACAAAAGGTAAGCATAACTATGGTTTTGAATTATATGCTGCAACACTAAGAAAATGCATAGGTGGGAGGGGAGCAGCTCCCCATTTTAATTTTAACACAAGGAGAATAATAATATGTTTTATTAACACTAAACAGAGAGGTTCAGAGTAGTTTTGAAAATTGTAAAGATCTTGTTGAAATTCCAAGTTTGTTACTAACTGTAGAACATGGAGCAAGTTACTTAAGCCTTCTCAATCTTGGTTTCCTCATCTGCACAATGATTTCTAAATAAATATTGCACAGGGCATGAAAAATCAAGTAAGTTAATCAATGTAAAAAATCATTCTAAAACACAGTAAGTGGTATTCAATATGCTAAAATCTACTGCTATTTATTATTAGTAGGAACTTTTGTGCTCCTAGCAGAATAGAATATAGAACCATATCTAAGTAATAGTTCTTACATATTTATACCAGTGTCAATTCAAACACACTCTTTTACATCCCAAAATTTAAAATGATTTTAACTTTCACGTTTTATTCATTAGTTACTTTGATTAATTAAAAGAATTATTTTAATAAGACAACATCTCTTATTCAGTTCTAAGTATATATTTAAAATGGTTGTTCTTGAATGTAAAAACTTACCATGACAACACCACCAACGTATTCAAAAGCACAATGAGCTATGCAGCCATACTGAATAGTATAGCCAACAAGTCGAAAGGTTTTTCCCAAAACACCACGATGCATAGTTCTATGTAGTCTCTGCTGCCATTGGCCTGATGGAAAATTTTAAAAAGTTTCGTGATCAATACTATTTTAAAACACTTAAGAAACAGCTGTGTTGTCAAATATTTTATAATGATCCAGAATGTACTAAGTGTCAAATTCAGGTTGGTGCTAAAAAGCAGTGCCATTTTTTTTTTTTTCATTTCTGCTGGTATTTTTAAAGGCAAATTACAGCCACTTAACATTTTGATGAGATTAAATCCAAGCATTACTGGTTTATATATGAGTAAGATAATCAGTAGACTTCAAACTTGCCTGTTCCTTTTTATTCTTGTTTTTAAGGTAGATAACTAGGAAAGACATTCTTTCAAAGTTGTTACTTACTATACTTGTTCTTGTCATAATGTGATGTGAAATAATGGAGAAAGCACCAGAGCAGGAATACAGAAATTCAATTTTTAAATTGCTGGTTAACTTGTACGATCTTTGATGAACTATTTAACCTCTCTGAGCCATAATAAAATGGAAATATATCTCACAGATTGGTTCTGGGAGTCAAATTCAATAGCATATGTCAAAGCGCTTTGTAAATTATCAAGTTACATGCAGTTGTCAGTTATTAATTACTAAGATAATATAAACATGAATACTAGGAGACAATATAAGAATCATTTATTTTCAAAAGCTACATACATTTAAAACATGAATATTATTCATCTAAAATATTCCTACCACCTGTGCCTTACTTTCTATTTATATTGCAGCAACTGTACTTACCTGTTGAACAACCTACTCAACTATGTTTTAAGTATGGCTCAAGTGATAGCCTAAGACTTAAACCTAGGCTAATATACTATTCTCAGATTTTACTAAAACACATCAATGGTAACAATATGTAACCATTGCTTAATACTTGCCATATGTCAGAGTTTACAAATTAACCTTTATAAAGTGGGTATTATTATCCTTATTTTATAGATAAGAAAAAGAATCCTAAGAATTATAAACTAGTATACTGAATATTACAAAGCTGGGAAATGATGGGGTCAAGAACATAACCATTATGTTACACTGACTTCCATATTTAACTTCTCAGTGACTATCAAATCAGGCAGGAATTACTTAGACTCATTTTCAGGTTGTTTGACTTCCATTCCATTCTCAGTTTCCAACCTGATGCTTCTCCGAGTGATTCTGAAGCACAGTAACATTTAAGAACTATTGCTCTAAACTCTCACTGTAGCCAAAGGTCACCTCCAGACTTGAGCACCTTGCTGATCTGGTTGTTGGCCGCTATGTGTCATATAGCTTAACACAGTCCATGTACTGTGAACAAAAGTTAGGAAACACTGGCAAAAAATATTCTTAATCCACCCAAGGAACAGAATTTTTAAATTTTTAATCCTTATCTAGACCTTTCCATCTTTGAAAGTTGAGTCATTAATGTAGAGAATAAAGTCCTTTAAAGAATAGCCTATGTACATGATCAAAAAATTAATAGTGAAGACACATGCAGAGGAGTTTTTTATTTTATTTTCTAGAACTGCAAATTCAAGGAGTCCTGATCCCCACAAAATTTTACTGAAAACTATTTTTATTTATTCCCAGAGGAAATAATTACCATCACTCTAAAGTTTAAAGCAGTGAGTAAGTAGGCGTTTAGTCTGACTGCAGCAACAAAATAACTTGAGAACCTAATTCAAAATTCAAATTCCCAGGCTCATATCATAGAACTAATGAACAAGGATCTATGGGAACAAAGCTGCAGAATATGCAGGTTTAATAAGCTCTCAAAAAGGATATACAGTAAAGGGTTTTGTCCTGTTCCATACAACTGAGACATACTCTAGCAATTTTACAAAATTTCAACAATTGGCATTTTTAAACTGAACGTTAATGTTGGGATGTTTCCATAAATTTTCCTCATCAAGCAAAATTTATAATATTATTTCAATGAATAAACACAATATTAGTGTCTGAAGTCACTATATACGCACATATATAACTGAAATCAAAGCTCATTTTATGTTTATAAAGCATAAACAGTTTACATATTTAATGCAATTAAAAACCAGTCTCCAAACACTGACACATCAAAGTCACCCCATTCATCCACCAATAGCCCCCTGATGGCTATATGATCCATCTATTTCAGAACAATATACAACTTGTACAAGCAATCATTGAAGTGTATTCATTCAAATGGAAAAAGTATCATTTAGCATTATCATAGGCAGCTGTCTCTGTGCCAGTCTACAATTCATGCGTAGCACCAAAGAAAGATATTAAGTTTCATGAATAACCAAGAGAAAAAAACTTTATCATCTCATAAGTAATCAAAAATTGCTATGATTCCCAACTTGCTCTTAGTTACACATGACTTACTCTTTTAAAATCTTTTTTAAAAAGCACAAAACCCATTTCTCACCCTATATCCTCTTTTCTCTTATTCCCAAGCTCCTTAACCTCCCAACCTCCATCACAAGTTACCTGTGCAATACAATAAATTAACATTTATAGCTTTTAAAGATGACCCAAATTTCTAATATCAATAAAGTTTTAAATGCAAGACAACTATGTCTAACTGAAAAGAATATAATCACTGTGAAGACCTTGTATACCTTAAGAGAATTTAACTAAGTTTACTTAAAACTCTACAAAAGAAATAACCACCTCTAACCAAATCAAAATTATGCTAGAATAGAAAGAGAAAAAATACTCTCAAGAGCCATTCACCAAACTGATAAATAAAAAAGCTGAAAAGAAGTGACCATGTTTAATAAAAGTTTCAGGCAAATTGTGCTTTGAAAGGAAAGCTTCTTTAAAAAACATTAAATGATACCCTTAGCTACCACAGAAGTTTACCCTGAGAATATATACCACCAGGTAAAATAATCTGAAATTACACATAAAACAAATATTTTATATTTAAAATACAAATAGCTGTGCAATGAGGATAAGAAAAGGCTTTAGCCCGTTAATATCATGGACAGATCTTTTCAGTGTGATAGCATGTTTTTTAAACAGCTTTCAAACAGTAAAAACACTAAGGCTCAAAAAGTCCTTTATAAGTTTATGTAAGTGTAGTTCAGTAGTAAAACTGTTAAACTTTCTCATTCATTCAGTTAAAATGTGATAACAAATGAAGAAACACATTTTGAAATAGAGCAGTTTCCAAAACTGCTGAAACCAGTTAAAACAAAATAATTTTAAAAAGTATTTGTTCTGTAGGTTACATGAAAGAATGCTATATAAGCTTATTATATTTTAGTTATTAATGTTTCTAATAAAGATCTCACATGGAGAAGAAGAAAATGTACAGCATGTCAACAGAGGCTATAAGTAAGCCAATACATTATGCATGATGGAAAGTTATATTTTAATTATTCTTATAATTCAAAATACAGTTCAGTCACTTAGATTTAGTGACGATTTCATGATTTGAAACCCTAAGATTAGGTTTTATCATCTATTTTTTTTAACAGAAAGCAACTAAGTCAAAAACATGGTAAGATGAAAATCAAGTTCTATGAATAAATATTTTAAAAGTAAGTACTCTAGGATCATAATACTGACAACACTAATTATCTTTTCTTGTCTTGGCAGTTATGTTGCATACTGTTTGGGTGACTGATGGGATAATTTCACTTCATTTTCTCTCAGTTTATTCTGGACCATGTAAGAGAAGAATATTAAAATAATTAACACCTCTAAATAAAGTACTTGATAAAGTTTTTAGTTTTAATTAAATGCCAAAAAACTCTGTTAGCTAATACATGATTCCACCACAACTAACCAAACTCCATTTGCTAAAGGAAGATTTGAATAAGAATATCTGAATTAAAAAAAATCATTCAGTATTAATATTAACTATTTTAGGACTTACACATTATGATCATACACTTTCAAGAAGAGCCTTTTCATCAGTAGTTTGAGTTAGCATTACTTTAATTTTTAAAAATATACTTTGTATCATTAAATGCTTTACTCAATAATATTTAGTTAGCAGGAATGGGGCAGTCATATAAGTAAAATGTATGACAAATTATGCCAATTCTTTATACCAGAACATATTTGGATAATATTATTAATACTGGTCTTGTAGCCAAAAGAACACAAAGTATCTAAATTAATTTTTAATATCAAATATAAATCTTTACTAGTAGCAAATACTTTTTGCCACTCATCTAGAAATATATAAAGTACATTATTAACTTACTTTTCTATTTGATATTTCTATATATTTTCCATCATATATAGCATCTTATAATTTATATGTCTCATAATTTATAAGTCATCTTGTCTATAAGGCTACATATTTTAAATAATTAATGTAAAGCATATTCATGCCTTGATCACCTGAATTGTTTGTTGTTGTTTATAAAATTAATCACAGTTAGCAGGATAGAAATCGCTTTGAGCTTCATGAATGACATCCAAGAGATGGGAAAGGATTAGTTCTCAGTTGCTGCCAGTTATAGCGCCAGGTGGCTTTTTCTGCAGTGAAGGTGTTACCGATAATCCCATTACACTGGTACTAAATCTTGCAGACATCAAAATTATCACCAAGGTTCCTTTTCATCCCATCCTTTCCAAATGACTGGAAGTCGCTTCACCTGAAAGAAGTCAAATCCACATGCAGCTGCTGTTTTAGCAGGCAGCAAACTCCCTGAGAATGCCAGTCGTGATTCAATTTTGCTGTGCTGGTGGCCCCCTATTCCCTGTCCAATAATACATCTGTTAAAAAATCCTACAGCTACAAATCAACTTTAATCCTACCAGGGACCTCATGTTGGTCTTGTCTTCCAAAAAGGCAGCAGGTTCTGCTGTCTATCTCTGCTAGCGTCTGGGGAATACCCTTTAAATCCCAGTCCTACTTAGAAGAATAAGCTAAGGATCACAAAACATGACCTCAAAAACCCTGATATGACTATATTCTGACCCAGAGGCATTCATTCTAGGTGAAGATTAGAACTTTGCATAATAAGATTACACAGCAAGTGAATGATATCAAGGGACTATCCATATGCAGCCGCCTGGTTTTCTATAT